TTAGTCCCTCTCTTCTTAGTCCATGAATCTAGAGTCCTCAGCTGCTCCCCATCTCCATGCCCCCATCTCTGCCGCTGCTGCTTCTCTGGATAAGGTCCTACATTCTGCTTGTGCGTTCCTCTCTTGATGGTCCTAGGGTCCTCTGTTTCTGGACTGTAAGATTAACCACTCCCCATTTTTTGTTACAGAACTTCTACCTTTACAGTTGTGACAGTCGCGATTAGTCACGATAACAATTATTCACTATTGAATCTTACGAATCTTATCCCCATCTCTTTTCATCAGACTCATCTAGACATGATGACAGCTATTCAGTGGGGACTCTTTATTTCCCCCCATACTTTTAAACTAAACTCTCTCTTGAAACCTTGTAAGCCAGTCACTTCGTGCCTTTACTGCCCCCTAATTTTAGGTAGTCAATGTCTAAGTTGCCCTTCCCTATCTACCCTGTGTACAGAGCGGATAGCATTGATACTTGATTTGAAGACTCTTTTTCCCTCTCTGTTGGTATTTAGAGTAACTACCGCTCTGAGCATAGGTCAGGTTCATCATGAAGATGTATCTTCTGTCACTGTAGCTGTTCTAGTCAGCTTATCCATTCTAGTGGGAATGTCTCACCTCATAAGGTTCTGGAAGGGACTCAGGATTCCACCTAAGGTCCTATACTCTGTAAAGGCTTTGCACAAGGCCTATTTTCACTGGGCAAGTCGTAGAACCCCTTTTAGGTATTCCAATCAGTTATAGATTGAAGGTGGGCTTACAAGTTTTCTCTAATCATGTTTCCCAACATTCCTTTCTGTTCCACTCAAGTGTCTATTTTACAATAGTAGGCAAAGGAAACTAATATTCATAAGGCAGTCAAGGATTTTAGTATTATTTCCCCTCTTCAAGCTATACCTAGATCCCTGTTTCCCAGAACCCTGTTGTTCCAAGGTTGAATATGCACCACTATTTACCTCTGTCCCACTAGACCATGCAAACCTGTCTCAGTGTTCCCCTATCTACCTTGTTCTTCCACCTCCTCCCCCTTCTTGTATTGACCTCCCTAATACCCACACTAAACCCCCTACCCCAACCCCATTGTGGTTACCTTATAGTTCATTAATTCTACCCTCCATTTAAGACCGTCTGTTTTATCCGGTAATCTACCTGACCTTCCCACCACCTGGATATCTGTCCCTCTGTGTTTACCTTCTTTAACATTGTAATTGTTTTGATCATAGACCGACCTCCCAGATCCTCTGTTCTTATAATTTTATTCTGTTCTTGACTCTTCCATTTGTCAACTGAGTTCAGGTTGATGCTGCCTCGTACGTCATTCTGTAGTTGTTATGTGTTCTTGTTGGTTCTCAGTCACAGAACTTCCTTTAGGATGTTTTTCATAGCAGGGTTG